AACAAACAAAACCCAAACCAGAAATATTGAAGAGACCAATAAAAATATTGGCAAATCTTCTCAACAATCACAGCACTTATCACCGGAAAATTCACTTCCCCATGCTCCGCCTCCGCAAAGCCACTTTCATCATCACCAACCAAAAGGAAAACAAGTTAAAAATTAGATCTTTCCAAGTAAGAACCCAGAAAGCCAAATGCCCAAAACGATCACACAAGAAGAAATGAAAGGAAATAGAAAAACAGACTTGGAAAAGTAAGCATGTTACGGATGGTTTGAGAAACCATGGCAACTTCCTTTATCGATAACAAATTCCATCCTTTCAGAGCTGATGAGTTTTGAAAAGAATGAGTTTCGCACAGTTTGGGAACACGAATAGAGGAAAATTTAATGGATTTGGCTTCGAGTTTAGAGACTGAGAACCATTTCATGCTTTCCCTGGTTTTTTTTACGATGCTTTAGAAATTGGTACCGAGTGCGACAATGAGTTAAGTGAATGGGGGGGGAATGGAAATATACACAACAGAAAAGAGACCCCAATATGATCATTGATAATGAGACGAAAATGCTCTGACTAAAAAGCAGGAAACAGAAGAATTATAAAAGGAAAGGGAGAGCAGATGAGCGAGCAGTTTAGAGTGTGTTTGAAGAGAATGAGTTTTATCAGGCATTGAGCATAATCCCACATCGTTAAGGAAATAAGAAACGAAATGGTTTATAAACTAAAAAGCCAAGAATATGAAATACAGGCCTTCGGCCCATGTGCTGTTGCACCTGCAAGTTTGGGTGGGCTTGCGGCTGCCCTCTAAACTTCCACGTGTACAGGAAGATAATAATGGTGGTGGGCGGGCTTTTTGGTTACGGGCTTGCTTGGGGTTTCGGGGTCATCTGTAAGACCTACAGTTCATGATGTTTTCAAAAAGCCCTTGGGAGTTTTTTTTGATTTTAAAGCCTTAGGGTCATCTGTAAGACCTACAGTGCATGATGTTTTCAAAAAGCCTTAGAGAGCTTTTTGATTTTAAAGCCTCCGGGTCATCTATAAGACCTACAGTGCAAAATGATAAGAATTCAGAGCCATTCATAAGACCTCTGGGCAGAATGTTTTCAACATTTCCATCCTACTTAAAAGAAGTCAAATGAAAAATTATTGTCTTTTTTGTCTTTGCTTTATTCTTGTTAACACAAGAATGAGCAAAGAGGGGCAACTGTAGACACTAATTTTTTTAGTTTGTTTTTATTATTATTATTATTATTATTATTATTATACATTATTATTATTATTTATTATTTATTATTATTAATAAATAAATAATACAAACCCAAATATATTACAAAACTCGGAGCCCAATAACCAGGCCCGTTTACAACCCAGAACCCTAAACCCAACTAGGGTTTTCATCCTTAGCTCCCAACCGCCACATCTCTCAGCCGTTGGATCTGAGAGATCCAACGGTCCATAGAAAGAACAACAAGAAGCCCTAGGGTTTCCTAACCCTAGGTTATCATCTCGCGTTACCGCTACTTCAAGATCCAGCCGTCTTTGTTGTCGACACTTCCACTGCCAGGTGACCTAATCAGTTGTTGCCGACACCACCGCTTCAATTATGCTGCCATGACGTTCGTAGAAGTCTCCAGAAGCACCAGGTGGCTGCACATGTCGCCCCCAACAGTGAGTCACCACTGGAAGTTCGGTGACTCACCAAACTTCCCCCTCTGGACCGGTCAGAGCAGGGCTCCGTGGTGGCTATAAAAGTCACCGGATCCTGCAAAGAAAAGGAGGAGAGCAAGGGGACAGACAAGAACGGAAGAAAGGAAGAATCCGAGAGAGAACACAGCAAGAGGAGAACGAGCAACCCAGCAACCTTAAAACACCAAAATAGCAAGGAAAATACGAGGGATACTTACCATGGAAGCCACGCCATTACTGGAGTTCATACGAGCCTCCACGCGTCACCAAAAAACTTTCGAAAACCGAATGTATTTTTCTAGATTTGCTCCGATCGAGAGTCATTTAAGGGAAAAGGACACCGGAAACATCATTAGGACGGTCCGATCTACATTTTGGTGTAAAATAAAATTTTCCGGCCACCGGATGCGGTGACCAGTGGTAAGGTCGGCGGCGGCACAAGACTGCCGGCCGGTGACCGGCTTCCCTCCGGTGAGGGAAGCTAGAGAGAAGCGAGAAAAAGTTTTAAACTCTCTCAATTAGAGAGAGAAAGTGAAAGAGAAAAATGAGAAGATGGCCCTTCGGGCCAGATATAATAGGATATTTATACCCTCTTTTAAACGGCGTCGTTTAAGGGAGGGACTGTGTGTAATTTGATAAGGGTAAAACCCTTTTCGCAGCCATTATAAGTTTATAACTTTATATTTTAGTCACTGAATCCAATTTTAGATCTTTATAATTTGTTTCTTTAATTTTAATTTTATTTATTTTAGTCCTTTATATTAAATAATATATATTTTAGGTAAATGACATATTTAGTCCTTTAATTTTAATAATTAATATTTTAATTCAGAAAGCATGTTTTAATTTATTTTAATTTAGTATTTGAATTTAAATATATGTTTATTTTAGTCACTAAATTAACAATAAGGTAAAATAGCATGTTTGGTCCCTGAAAAATTAAATAATTATTTATAAACCAGGTACTAAATTTTAATATATTATAATTTAATCATTAATTTTAATATTTTCATTTAATTACAAGTTTTATTTTTTTTACATTTTATTATTATTATTTTAATTTTATTTATTTTAGTCATTGTTTAGTTATATTTTAACTTAATTTTTATTATTATTATTTTTAATATATTTTAAATCATTACTTTAATTATTATTTTATTATATTAGTCTTATAATTATATATATTATTTATTTATTTAATAATATTTATTTATTTTCAATATCAAAGAAAATGACAGTCTTAAAGCAACTGGATGACTTATTCTGGTATTTTAAATAATTAAATATTATAAAAATTATAATTTAGTTTTATTTAAATTATTTTTTAGGAAAAATATTACATTTTTAATATTTATTTTATTTATTACTATCGAAGATAAGAGCTGTCTTAAAGCAACTAAAAGCACTTTTTTGATATTCTTAAATAAATAAATATCCTATTTACAAAACACTATATATATTTTTAATATTATTCGTTAGAATTATCCGATTAAATACAAAATAACAGGATTATGAATTAAATATATTTTTAAATTTTTAAATTTCTAATAATAGAAATAATTTATAATTAATAAGTACCAAATTTTGGACGTTATAGGGGTGCTAATCATTCCCTAAACGTAATCGACCACGAATCCTGTTTTACTAAAACTTTTGGTTATACGCAGATCAGTTTATTTTTTAAATTATATTTTCTTAAAAATTATTTTAAAAGATTATTTTTAGGTATTTGACATATCTAACCCAAAATGGTCAATGGCGACTCCTAAAATATTTTTTTTAATCAAAATTATTTATTTATTCGTTTTATTTTTCCCGCCAAATAAAAATTCGTGCCCGGGCGAAAACTGATTACGACAATAAGCTTTTCCAATTGCCTGCTCTGCCTGTTAACATCCTTAATCTTCTCCAGTTTCTGGAATCCATTTCTGCAACATAAATACAAAAGCAATTTAAAAAGAACGTAGAAAAAATTCGTAATCGATATGGAATCAACAATGCCTAAGCTCAAGTTACTCGAAATATGGAACACAAAGGTAAAACATAGCTGATTCCTTTCACTTCTTTTGCAGCTTGAGGAGCTGTAAAAGTTTGACAAGCAATAGATAAAAAATACTAAAAACAATATTTTATCATCTTAATTTCACCCCAACACATATTTCCATTCTTCAACCAATGAACAAATGTTGTACATATGATGCTTGCTCAAAGCATTTGATATTTTTTAGTGACCCAAAGAAAAAAAAGAATATAATATCTGGTTCCTTATAGCCTGGGAATTAATACAAAACCTATTAATACAATTAAATAAGACTCCATTTGACTGGTTGATTCAGGTAACGAGAATCATACTCCATTATACGGTCTTAAGTGATTCAGGTAAAAAATTCAACACAAATGCAATAGTAGACATCTCATCGGTCTACTATTTTTTCAATCAAGGATCAAGAACGGTAATCGGTCATGAGAAGTTACATATTTTAAACAAGGACACGAAAGGTGGTTCAAGAAACATAGGAAATATATCAAACAATTTTTAAAATCAATAAAAAATGACAATGCATTAAATAATAAAAAATTTATTAAAAGACTAGGTTATGAAAAACCTAAGACAAAGGCCTATATACCATCTTATGATCGACATAAAAAACATAGATACAAAATCCATAACAGGCCCAGAAAACTCATTATATATAGGAGAGAGAAAAGAGGTGCAACAACAACAAAATTATCAAACATCCAGCTGTAAGAGTTGTTCCTCTCCACTCCAAAGCAAAAACTATGAATTTTTCACAAATTATTATGAAAAAGGACACCGAATAGAAACAGAGGAAAATTCACAGCATACGAGAATACTTTTCCCCAAGAACAATAAATGGGATTATAGTTTGCATTAGAAAGGTCATTCCTAGTTAAATGTAACGAAAGCATTATAACAAGTATCTTCTATAAAACGAGACATTTTTATATTCTTTTTCTACTCAAAATTTCAAAATACAGATAGTAAGGGGCTATAGTTCGCATTAGTAGGGTCATTCCCAGTTTTACTGAAAAAGGGGGTTGAGAGACTCAGCACCATGATGATAGAAATATAGGACACGTTTCATAATTCATTATGAACAAAAAAAAAGTGTCGACAATCATTCAAAGACCAATGAGTAGTTCATAAGGCACTACAAGTTACAAGGAATAAAAGCTGAAAAAGGTAGAGGAACTTGTATGTCACTTTGTTGCAGTAATATTGTTGGTAAACCACATAAGTCGTGTAGCATAAATTTTCAACCATAATACTTATTCCAAATATAAGTTTACAAGAAGCACGATAAAGTACTTAAGGAAAGACATGTATGCAGAAGATAACATTTATTTCTTCAGCATCTCAGTAAAATTCAGGAGTACCAAAGGTAGGTACACAGAATTAAAGTTAGGAGAGAAGAAAAAGTCTTTGAGATTGGTAAGACAGATTTTAGAGCTCCAGGATGCTTCTAACTGATGAAAAGCCGAATAAGACAAGTTACCTTGTATTTCATGTCTTGGCATTTGATACCAACCACAGCATGATGCCCGACGACGTTATTGCATCCAATTACAGTACGCCCGGGAATATCACCACCGACCACTGCACCACTGCCCGATAAAGTTTAGTACTTGCGTAAATTATGACATAAAACATGCATACTTCTAACAGAACCTCACAAATTAGTGAGAGGAAGACAACCAAAGTAAACTCACGTCCTAAAAATACAGTTGTTCCCCAATTCTGTATTTTTGAAAATATTGGTTCGAAGGATGCAATCGACATCTATTCCCAAGCTTTGTTGAAGAACCAATTGTACAAAAAGGACCTATTTGAGGTACCCAAATACAAATGCCCAGATAATGTAACTTAGGGTCAAGCCTCTTCATTCCACTCAGAAATCAGAAGGAAATGCAACTTACATTTATATATACAGTAACATTAAACAATGGAAGCTGCAATTAAGAAATCAAGCAACCCAACTCAACAATAAAACGATATTATATTATAAAATTTGCAAATCCAAATTACTGACTACTACCACTAACCTTAGAATGTTGTAGAGATCTAAAATTTGCAGATCAAAAGCACCACAACGGCAATGACTACAAGTGTGAACCATGAATCCATTTTTCAAATTAAGCATTGAATATGTGCAAAGGATATCAGAATAATTTACATCCGAATGAATGGTGAAACTGATATAATGATCTTCTAACTGAATTCAACCTGTTTAATCAACTACCCTACAAATGAATCGAAACTTCATAAGTTTAAGGAAGTTAAATTGATTATTTGCATAAATAAAAATAAACAGCTCTAGTCATTGTTGATTCCAATTCGCAATTCCCTTTTTCAAAAAAGGAGGAAAAAAGTATGTGAAAACAGCAAGCAGGAAACTGTACCTGGAATTTCGGCAGCACGAGGCTCAGTGTCGCAATAAGTTTGTCTTAAAACAAAAAGAAAAGAACTAACCGGCTTATCTTGGGGTATATTGATTTTATGTTTTGCAATGGCGATGGCCCGAGAAAGTCCCCCAATAGCATCAATACCTGCCCATACTCTGCCCTGTGCGACCTCTTCCATCTTTTCTACCTGTTCAATGATTCATGTTCAAGTCCCATTCAGAAACTTGACATTACGATCTAAACTGGAGATAAAAAGGATAAACATACAGTCATTGATCTCGAAGAAGCAGCCTTGTCTCGAAACTGTTTATAAGCATTCTGTGCAGACTGCAGAGTTTGCAAATAGCTCAGCTTCATCCGGTCTGGTATATATTAAGGTTAGTTCTCTATTATTTTCATAAATAGAAAAAGAGCAATTGTTTTTTTGATCTAAATCCTCCAAAGAGAACAGTTGTGAAAAGAGGATAATTAATAGATAAGAGTCAAAACTCGGCTTTATAAGCACAATCTACACTATCACAACTCTCCAATATTTTTTTGAAGCACTCATGTCCAACACCCGTGTATCAGACACATATCGAAACATGGACATGAGCATATGATGTTTCTAAATATATGGAAAAACTTTAAAATTGTCAACCTACCCGTGTTGAACACATATCCATAACCGACACTCTCAGCTAGGTGCAAGTAACATACATAACAATATCAAAATATACTGAAATCTTGACATCTACTCACTTTCTATCAAAACAAAATATGCAACAATGGCATTCACCTAAAAGGCCGCTGCTCGGCTGCAAGAAGTTCAGCATATCTTCCCCTTGATATGACCTCTTTATTGAAGCCAATTTTTTCATATAGTTTCCCCAAGTTAAACTTCCCTGCAAGCAAGAGGAGGGAAAACAAAGTGATGATTTTATGACTTGCAAAAATCCAAGAGGCCTATGTAGGAATCTGACATTTCTGGTTTTCAGCCACAAGCAATTTGTTCAAAGAAACAAGGAAAGGGTCACTTTGTTCGACAAGGGCATTCAAGGTTACAAAAAAATACAACAGTAAGCCAGTACAAAATGACCTTGTACTGGCTTTGTAACTCAATCTTTTGGATTTGTAATAGTTTTTCCCAGACCACAGAAAATTCCTCTTGCTTATCAAATTTCAGAGAGTTAGCTCACCTGTGACAACTCCAATTGAACCAGTTAAAGTCAAATTTTCAATAACGATTGTTTCAGCTGCCATAGCCATATAATATCCCCCACTAGCTGCCACATCGGACATGGATGCGATGACAGGTTTCGATGCAGCTAAAAGTCTGATTTCCCTCCACATTCTGGATATTGTTAACATAACCTATAGTGAGCAAACAGAAATGGTAGATTGTTTTCTTTCGCATTCGATTATGTATTTCAAGAAATCAAATTTCTGAATATCATCACATAATACCCAAGTTTCAACATGATAGATAAAGGGTTGAAAAACAAGGATGATAACTCATATCAGACAATTTATTTAAATTCTCGAGTTTAACGTCTCTGTCGACGTCCCAGAAAGGTCTGCCCTCGTGTATCCTCGGGAAGCAGAAACGATTTCCCGTTACTGTTGAACCACTCGTAATAACCGTAAACAACCATCAAGAGGTCAAGTAAAATGAGCTCTCTATGGGGAAGGCGCCGATGTCGATCCTCCCACAACACGACCCACTTATGATGCCTCACCAACCAATCTATATTTGTCTTGTCGCGTCTATCTAAGCTATGCAACTCGTCCATATTGCGAGGTACTTCTGGAATTGGTTGAAAACAACCAAACTACCGAAGCACGCGATCAGTAGAGTGCCACTCGACGGTCGCATAACATATCAGAGGGACCATCGCCATCCAAACATCTAATTGGCCCCTCAACTCAGGTGGGATCATCGCCCTCACATCATCAGTACAATATGGCACCCATTCAAACTAAAACAAATATTATATAATTTTTTATCAAAATAATAATCTAATTATATAACTATAATATAAAATCGATTTTTAAACATTAAAATTCATACATGTGTGCCAGCCTGCTGATCGATGAGCACCTTAATTTTTTCTAAATCATCAAGTAGCTCCTGATGATTTTTCCTATCAGTAGACTACCTATTTAAGGGAAAAAAATTATTATACGCTTTATAAAATTATTAATATACAAAATCAGTTTTATAATTACCTCAGAAGTAGTGGAAATACGAATGGGTTCTTCACAACGGGACATAAAAAGGGCAATCGATATCATGTCCAAGACTACAGCAGCAGGAGACATCTGCCGATAGCATTACGCTTGTAGTCAGTGGCTCTACACATCTCTCTATACAGCAAAGCCAAAACTGTCGAGCCCAACTGAATGATCCGGCCAGACGAAAGTCGCTAAGATGTCGCAACTACATGCAGTGAACTAGGTTGCGCGATTTGTCCGGCATCAGCAACCCTCCTATCAACTGCAGTATGAATGTCTGTTCATACATCTTAATTTCATCCTCAGAGGCGTCTGCGCTCAACTCCTGAAAATTGGCATCTAACCAATTTAACGATATCCTACATCTGATAAAACTTTCCGGGACACGTCCTAGATTATCCCGGCACAAAGTAGTGCAGGAACCCTGCGAGATCCCTGATATCACATCTCCATCCACCGGAAGCCCTAGGTGCAGAGCCACATCCTCAAGTGTAATCGTGCACTCTCCGCACGGAAGATGGAATGTGTGGGTCTCCGGCCTCCACCGCTCTACTAAGGCAGAAATAAGGTCTGGTTCTATCTTACAGTTACCCTGATATCTACCTATGTAACCAAATCCAGCCTCTACTAAATACGGCAAGACACGGCTAGGTATCACTAATTTAAGATTCCTAGAAAAGGATCTAATACACGGTTTTTCTCCTAAAATTAAATAATTACACAAATTAATTCTTAATCTAATAATCGTGCATTAAATAAATCAACAAATTATTACAAATAGTTTAAATTAAATTAAAACGTTAAAATGTTACCGTATCAGCAAAGTGTCGAGATATATGATTTCCATCCAAGCGAAGTAGATCGCCTTCTATTATATATCTGCAAAAAAAATTATATTAGTAAAATATTAAATAAAATAAAATGCTTAAATAAATTAAATACATAATATTAAAAATATTATAAAATATACCTTAAACAGAGAGAGTATTTAAGAGAATTTGAGAGAATATGGTATGATGAAAGTAATAGAGGAGGGGGTATTTATAGGGACGGTTGGGGGTAATTAAAGGTATAGCACCCCTTGTACCGCGCTATACCCTACGTATCAGATAAACAACTATAGCGCGAATCAGGGGGCACACTACACCCACGTGTAAGTCATGTCAGCATATAGCGCGGTACAGGGGGGCGCTATACCCCACGTGGCACCAAATCAGCATATAGCGCGGGGTAGGGAGCGCGCTTTACTGCTACGGGTGTTAGATCGGGAAATATAATCTGACCAGTGTTAGGTCGGTAAATATACCGGTCACCAGTGATTTTTCGGGAAAAACATCATTTGATTAACGTTAAAGATTGGCCTTTGTTCTTTAAATCAATAAACATCTTTATTCTTTTAAATAATAATTTGATTAGCTTGTCACCTTTAATTTTCTTTTAGGGTTATATAATTTTTAAGGATGATAATATTTTATTATTTTGATTAAAATATAAGAAATAATCGCCTTAATTTTTATTAGGGGTTAGTTTCTTCTTTAATTGGAAATAGATAAATGTTATGCATCTCTAGAATTCTCTAATTAGATTAAATATTCTTATTTTAGGGAATAAAATGATCATCAATTAAATAAATATTTGAATTTCTTAATTTTCAATATAAGGATAAATTAGTAATTGAATGTATCAAATTTGTTTTGGTGTTGGAGCCAAATTACGTGTTTTTAAATTTTTATTTAAAAGAGTGTATCTGAAAACCCCTTAGGCTGAGAAGAAGCCCCACATGCATGGACGGTGCGTGGGGGCGTGCACTGACAAAAACAACGATAGTGATCGGCTAGTTACTCCTTGGGCATTCACACACCACAAACAACCAATTTCAAGTCAATTAACCAACCAAAATCATAAAAAAAACAACCAAAAAATACAACCATACACTTACCCACGACGGACGGCGAACAAGCGACTGTGGGGCAATAAATTAAATTGGGTTTTGATCGGAATGAGCCAATGCCCATAATGGTGGAGGCGGTGTTGTGACTGGAGCTTAGAATCAATGTGAAAACATGAAAAACTAAGGCAACATTTTTGGTCTCCGATAAAGCTTTAACCATCGATTCACGATGAACGACAGGAGTTTACGCTGGAGGGACATTGGGCTAGGATCAGATGGGGGTGGTGGTCCTTTTGGGATCAGCAGTGACCTTCATTGACAAGCAATGATCGGGAATGTGGATACATTTTGAATGATATTTAAATATTTTACAATTAACGGTAAACACTGATGATGATTTGGCAGTCCAAGTTTGATCAAGAAACGATGAGGAATGCCTTGGTGGTGGCGGTGATGGCTTGGCTGGCCGGAGGTGGCCGACAAAGGAACAGTAAAATTATTTAGGAATTTGTTTCGGTCTAGTTTGATTCGATGCACACAGGAAAATTAATTTTTGGGATTTAAAATCCTAATTAGATATCTTTAACAGATATTTTTAATAAACAAATCTATAACAGTAAACATAGCCTTGATAGTAAGAGTATTGTTGGTCATACCTTACGTCCTTATTTCAATTCCCCATATCAGCATTCCCCTTCCCCCTTTTTCTTTATAAGCTAACCAAAGAGGGTTAAATTCAAACTTAGGTCCCTGATTTTTTAAGAAATTTCCAAATCTACCATACAATCCTGTAAATCTTACAAATCGATCTCAAAATTGATTAAATAAAATTTTTAATTAAAAACAAAAGAAAATTGGGGTGTTGCATTTATTTTCAGCTTGGGTGTGGGAATTGAGGGGGCAAAGATGAAAATCTTTTATCATTTTCTTCTCTCCTTGTTCTTTCCATTTTCCCTCTTCTCTTCCTTTTTTATTCTACATCTTTTCTTTTCATATTTTTTTTCAAGATTTAAGATAGAAGTAAGGATTTCTTATAGGTTTCATTTAACTTTTAATTAGATCTTATGCCTTCCCACAAACTTAATCAATACAAAATCTTTGGTTTCATTTTATGACAAGAGGGAGTGCTTGGTGAGCATCTAATTTCAATAGGAGAAAGATGAAACAAAGGTAGTTGAGAAGGGAGTTTCATTTCAGATTCCTAAACTAGAATAATGTACTTCTAATTCTTTTTAATGTCTTTGTAGTAATATACATGACTTCTACTTTTTATATGTTTCTGTCATTGGAATTTATGAAGGCTTAGAACTAGGGTAAAGAAGTAGTGTAACCTTAGTTTAGGTTTTAACCCATTTGACTTTATTCCTTCTCGTAACTTGCTATCGTTGACTACTGTGTATCATTCTCTTCATGTTTCCTCTTTTTAAATTTAGCCTGGACTTACGTTTCTGTCTATATGCAAAGATTTTTACGCAGGGATTTATTTACAGGGATTACTTCCCATTATAGACGCGCATATGTAGACTGCATATAAAGACTGTTCAACTATGTATTTATTTATTTATTTATTTATACATGCATTGTATTTTATATTTATTTTTTTAATTTTCTGACTGCCGGAGGTCTTCCACGGAAGCTGCTCTCAACCTGGCGTTGGGGGCAACCTACTACCCTACCTCCCCCTTACCCCATTGCATATGGGAATAGGGTTTTTTTGTTGTTGTTGTTGTTGTTGTTGTGTCCGGTTCTTAGGCGTAGGGGGGTGAACACCAATGGTTGGTAGGCTTGAAGGTGAGATTTTGGTTTAATAAAAAAAAACAACTTGAAATAAAAGATTAAAAAAAGACATGCATAATTAAAGTCGGTGGCTGACGCCTGACATTTTTTTTTGGATATGATGGAATTTTTATATAAATGAATAGTTTGTAAAAAAGGAGATTTCAAATTAAAAGTGATTGTTAGTATAGAAAAATGGTATTTTATATTAAAGACAATTTATATTTTTAAAGTTGTACTGCAAGGCACTGTTTATATCATTTCAAAGCATTTATTTCCAGCCGTTCTAACTTCTAAGGCTATTTTCTTATTTTGAATAACTAAAAAGCCATAATTGTTAAAAAAGAAACGTTCGAAACGTAATTTATATATAGATAGTGAATTACTTTTATAAAGCCAGAGAGTTTTAGAGATGGAGATGTGCTTTTATTTGTTTGGTTGGGTTGCTGTAGCAATTTCAAGAAATGT